ATAATTATGTATTATTTTATAATGCATTATATATAAAACAAACCTAACATTTCTATGAATGAGAAAGAGCAGAGACTGTCTGGTTAAGACAAAATAACCTGAGAAATTATACAGTAGTGAAGTGAGTTCCCTGTCTTTTTTTCTTTTTTATATCTTAAAATTGAAGCTTTAAAAACAGTAACCCAGAAAAGCCAAAATGTGCAAATCAATAAACAAAATACCCAATAATACAGACAGAAGCCGGCTCTCTTTGTCCAAATGACCAATAAAATTTCAGTTTAGTAAGACAGATAACTTTTAGATAATAACCACTCTACTATAGTCAAAACCGTAGCAGAAATTGTGGTTGCAACTTTGCCCATGCCAGCAAAGATTGAGTGGGAAGTCTAGACTGGCATGGATGAAGATGCAACCACAGGAGATAAGGATTTTCACCATTGCCTAGATATAATAACACCATTGCCTGGATATAATAAGGCCACCCCCATAGCAGTGTCATTGAAGAGTACATACAAGTTGAAACTTCCATCCTCAGAAGAAATGAGGATCCCTCTCACCAATTGGGTATTAATAGAGTTTGAGTGTTGAGAAACCTGAATTTATCTTGAAGTCACAAGATAATTACACATTTCCCCTGATGGAGCAATCCAAAGAAAGCTAAAACAGAAGATTAAAATACAATTGAAAGTTTTACAACATAATAAAATCTAGGTTTTAATAAAAAAATTGATTTACATGAAAAGAATTTGGAGGATTTTAGACTAAATAAAAACAGACAATTAATAGATGCTAACACCGAGAAGATAAAATGGTTAAAGATTATAAAGCACCAATGATTTTTAAAAAAAGCTTCAATGAGCAACTATAAACATGCTTGAAACATGTACAAATAGAAGACCTTAGCAGAGTAATATCAGATATAAAGAATAAATAGAGATTTGAGATATTAGAAAGGCAATAACCAACCAAACAAACAAATACACTTAGTGAATGAATTTAACATTATATTGAAAGGGAAAGGTGAAAGAATGAGAGAAAGGAAAAACAGAATAGTAGAAATTGCCCAATATGAGCAAGAAAATAGACTGAAAAATAATATATATTCTATTTAAATGGAAACAAATATCCCTTGTAAATGGAAACAAATAAAAGCAATGATAGCTTATACATTTATCAGATGATATAGACTTTAAGCCAAAAACTTTAATAAGAAACCAACAAGGTCACTATATAATTGTGTGTGTATGTGTGTGTGTGTGTGTGTGTGTATACATATATATATATACACCCAACATAGAGCATCAAAATATATAAATCAAATATTAACAGACTTTAAAGGTGAAGTATACAGCATAAGTAATTTTAGAGGAATTCCATACCCCACTTTTAACAATGGATTAGTATATCTCATATCGTTGTTTCTCTCCCCCCCTTTCTAAAATCAAGTAAAAGTAAATATAAAATCGATAGGGAATCTGGTAATTAAATGAATATGAATAGAATATAAGTGTTTTTTTTGTTGTTTAAATATGTTTTTATTAGAGGCCTGGTGCATGAAATTTGTGCATGGAGTTGGGGGAGGGTGGCTGGTTCCTGTGGGATGGGGCCTAAACTTGCAGTCAGACATCCCTCTCACAATCTGAGACTGCTGGCTCCTAACCACTCACCTGTCTGCCTGCCTGATCCCCCTAACCACAACTGCCTCTGCTTGCTGGCCTGATCACACCCTAACTGGTCTTCTGCCTGCCTGGCTGCTCTGTAACTGTCACCCCCTGTTGGCCTGGCCATCCCCTAACTGTCCCCCTGCCAGCTGGATTGTCCCCTAACTTCCCCCCTGTTATCCTGATCACTCCTTAACTGCCCCCCCTGCTGGCCTGGTTGCCCCCATTGCTGGCCTGGCTGCCCCCTAACTGCCCTCCCCCCCTCCCCCCTGCTTGCCTGGTCTCCCCCTAACTGACCGGAAGGAAGTCGAACATCCAGAAGATGTTTGGTCGACCCAGTTTAATTAGCCTGTTGCCCTTTTATTAGTGTAGATTGATGTTTTAGAGAGAGAGAAAGGGAGAGGGAGAGAGAGATAGGGACATCGTGGTGAGAGAGAATCATGATTGGCTGCTTCCTATACACCCCTACTGAGGATCAAGTCCACAACCCCAGAATGTTCCCTAACCAGTACTCGAACCAGTGATCTCTTGGTTTATGGGTCGATGCTCAATCACTTAGCCACACTGGTAAGGCAGAACTACTCTTCCTATTAGAACACAAAGAACTCTCTTTCATATGAGTTATATTACAAAAGTCCTTCGTATGTTTTTGAAATGCCTCATCATGTTTTATACCAGGGTTAACAATAGCCCCATTTTCATTTCAGGGTTATAATAGCAAGTGGTAGACCATAGATATTTTATTATTCTACCATTTATTTTGTTGAATGTTGATAGTTCTTTGTTAAACTTTTACTATAGTAATTCAATTCTTTTTATTAAATTGAAGATATTAGTACTAATTATCCTTAGAGTTAATTTTTTTCATAATTTTACATTATGTACTTTGGATAAATTGTTTTATAAATTGCTTTAGATTGTTTTTTGAGTATCAAATACATGAAGGTATATTGGTTCTTTGTAAACTCTAAAAATATCCTTTTAAGTAATATTATTATGAAACTGCTACAGATAATATTATTTGGATGCTAGAAATGTTTTAGCCTATTCTAGTGCTTTACAGATATTCCCTCACACCAACACATGAGGTGGTACTATTGTTATCTCTACAGATGATGAATTGGGAGCAGGTAAATTACTTACCCTAAATCACATTTCTAGCAAGTTGTAGAACTGAAATTTAAATCCAGGCCATATTCCTCTAGTAAGGAAATGTATTACTTACCCTTTAGAAAGAGGATGTTTCCATTTATTCTCAGATTTCAAATGGTTGATGGCATTTGTACAAATTTACTGCAGCTTTATTGTCATTTTATAAAATAATTGTCTCAGGACATCAGAAAGCTGAGTGTAGAGGTTACTTATTCTCTGGCAGGGACACTAACTCTGCCCACTGGTGAAGAGTATCCTTTATAATAAAAGGCTAATATTCAAAGCGACCGAACGGTGGAACAACCAGTCACTATGATGCGCACTGACCACCAGGGGGCAGATGCTCAACACCGGAGCTTGTCTCCTGGTGGTCAGTGTGCTCCCACAGGGGTAGTGCCGCTCAGCCAGAACCCTGAGCTGGGCTCACAGCTGGTGAGTGCAGCAGCGGTGGTGGGAACCTCATCTGCCTCTACAGCAGCACTAAGGATGTCCTACTGCCAGCTTAGGCCTTCTACCCTCAGAGAGCAGGGCTAATCCATCAGTAAGACATCCCCTGAGGGATCCCAGACTGCGAGAGGGTGCAGGCCAGGCTGAGGTACTCCCCCCACCCTGAGTTCATGAATTTCATGCACCGGACCTCTAGTTCTGTTTATAAAGAGAAGGAGTTATTCATGTCTTGGTGAGAATCTAGACTCTGTTTTAACTGCAGTGTGAACTTTAATGGTTCTCTGTTGGTGAGAACTGCAGTATCTGATTAGGATCACTTAAGACTAGCCACCTAACTTCCCTACTATATTCTTCTTGTTCACTTCTTTCTTATGCTCTCAAATTCCCTGCCCCCAAGCTACTGTAGGGGAGGAAAAATAATTTTCCCTCTACTGTTCTGAGTTCTTGGCTGAGACTTCTGTAATAAAAGATAGATTAACAAGAGAAAAACAAATAGAAGTTTGTTACTGTCTAGCTCATGAATACATCAGAGATACTCAGGGTAAAATGAATAACTCCTGAAGTGGCTTAGAATTAATACTTAAAGAATGGGGAGAGAGAATGTAGGCTCCTTAGGAGAGTAAATGATTTTTAGGAAATATGAATGGCCCTTAGAAGAACAAATGGGAGTTTGTGACAAAATACATCTGGGTGTGGTGGTTCTCTTAAACTTTCCTTGTAATCTTCTCATTTTGTTCCCCTCAATAAGAAACCATCTTTCCTGGTTGATGAAACTATTTACAAGAGGATTTATTATGAATGCATTTTGGAAGATCTTCCTTTAGGCATATAAGGGAAGTTCAGAGAAATCACCTCCAAGTTTTTGCTGTTTTTCAAGTGTCACCCACTCAAAATAATGAATATGCCAAAGGAGCATATTTTGGGTTGGCATATCTTGATTTCCTAAATTCATGTTATGGGGAGCCATAAAGTAGCACTAATCTGCAAGATTTTGTTGTTATTCTAGCAGTACATAGATGATTGACGGTATAGGCAGAAAAGGTGTGTGCTCATAACATGATGGGTTTGGTAATTTTCAAACAATACAAATTTTAGTTTTTTTAAAGCAGAATTCTTACATTTATAACATAACAAAATTATCTTTATTACTAACCAGTAAAATGGTCAATAAGATATAGGGAGTCTATATTTCCAAATGTAAACAATTTGCAGATGAGAGATCTTAGAGATAATTTCTTTAAAGGAAAGAGAGAATATATCTTTCCCCAGGGGAATGCTGTGTTCCAATAAAAGTGTCCTACATCATAGTGAAGCTGCAACAAAATTTTGAACTACTGTATATTATTTTATGAATCCAACATGATAGTTTTCTGGATGGGGATCCACAGAATAGTTTTAGAATTTCACTGAATACCTATTCATGTAACTACTTTTTAGAGGTTGATATACTTTGGTCAAACTTGATACTTATGCTATCAGATTAGGAGAAGGATTCAGAGAATAGAGGAAGTTATCATCATGGATCTTGCATTTTGTTAGAGAATTGCAGTTATTCAGTGCTACTAATTCTTGATTTACTGATCTAATAAAATATATGTGAAAATGTATATTATTCAACTGCTATGCCTTTAAGATACCTGTGAGTTGTTAGTAGTTTCTACCAAGAGAGTACTGAGTTTAAAGTGTTGTTTGGAAATAATTTTATGAAATATAATTATTAAACATATTTTCTTTATACAGGGATCAACATATGAGGATGAAATTGATAACATCCAATTTGTTATTTCAAAAATAAATGTAATCAGGGCTCACAATTCACCAATTTTGATTATTCAAAAATGGATACGTGGTTTCCTAATTAGAAAACATTTGAGGTATGTTTTATTTTCTCTACTATTTGAATATTAAACTAAGATGTGAAGAAAATCAATGATAAAAATGCATTTTTCCAATAATACTCATTTTTGCACTCCTATTAAAATGGTACTTTATTGATTACTTGAATTAGTTTTAAGGGACACAACACAGACTATATAGTAATATCTTATAATATTTGGCAAAATAAAAATAAAACTTTTCCTTTTTTAAAAGAATTGACTATGTATATAAGTGATCAAGTTTTTATTAATTAATAATTGAGCAATTCTGACAGTGTTTCACTTAAATTAAAAAATAGCAATCTAAAATATACTAAATTTCCTTATGTAATGGGATGAAATAGAAATATAAGCCATGCTCTATATAATGAAGTACAATGGAAATATAAACCATGAAACATATATGAGGATTTCATATTTTGTTTGAATGTGAAGATAATTTTGGTGAAACATCTGCTAGCATATCAATCTACATTGTCTTTTGGTTAATTGTATTTTTCTTTCTCTTTGTTCCTTGCATTTGTTTCCACTAGCTGACATTTGCAAATAGAGAAACACCTTTCTTGGCAGAATCTCTGAATACTGAACTTGGGGAGACAAGCTAGGGTACTCTGTCATCAAGATATATATATATATATATATATATATATATATATATATATATATATATATATATATAATTAGTCATGCTAAACATCACCAATATGATGAAGTAAATGAATATTTTTTGTATAGCTTATTTTCAGATGCTAAATAATAGAATACAGAAGATAGAAATGAAATTTCCCCCTGAAATATAGGTAGGATTAAAATAGATCCAGAATTGGGCAATGACAGTCTCTGAGAAACCCAGATTAGGAAGTTTCATTGAAATGATATTCAGCATTGTGTGGTAGGCAGAGGGAATGGTTTCCTGCATTAGCATGCATGGCTAAATCATAGATAGCAGTAGCTCTGTTAGAGAGAGAAAAGTGTGAGGATCAAGGAGCCAAACTGACCATAATACAGTGCCTGCAACTTCTGAAGAAGAGGTTCCAAACACTTTTCAAACTAAGGAAGGTCAAAGTGTGAAAGAAATTGGAATCACAGTAGAAACAAGTAAAATTATATGGAATAAAAGATGTGGAAGAGGAACAGGCAGATGCTGACAGATGCATATTTATTTAAAATATTTTTTCTGTCTCATCTTGCTTTAAATTTAGTGTGAGTTTTATATGAAATAAATATCTAATTAAAGGTACTTACCTTTAGCTTATGCCCCTACAATTGATTTTTTTGCTTTTAGAATCAAGATTTCCTATATATGAATGTAATATGAGATTAAAAACCTGGTGCATAGAACTAGTATCTCAAAATTCAGCATGCATGAATAGAATTTGAATAAGATTTATGGGGAGAGATGTCTGTAATCTCTATATATAAAAGGCTAATATGCTAAGTGTCTGACCATCAGACTGGTCACTATGACGCACTAACAGGGACAGACACTAAACACAGGAGCTGCCATGACATGCACTGGCACTGTGGACCTAGCACCTACACTTGGCTTCCCCTAAGTAGGACACAGGCCCCACCGCCATCCCAGAGTGACAGCCTACCAAATCTCAGCTGATGTTGCCAAGTTCCCATAGTGCAAAATGCGATCCACAGCCCAGCCCAGCCCAGCCCAGAAAGGTCACTACGGGAATGGGTAATGACATCATGTAGCAACATTTGGCTTCCTCACCCTAGTGATGACTAGCCTCATTGCAGTATCTTCAGCCCAGGAACACGATTTGCTTTATAGCCAGGTGTAAACATTTCACACTTTAACCAAATGTCTGTGAAGAGTTTTCCCATGCCTCATCTTATTTGATCCTCACATAAGTCCTGGAGTAGATAGAAAGGAGACTCAGTGGAATCCTATTTTCTTTTCATTAGATTTAGAAAGCTTAGAAACTTGACCCTGCTGAAAAGAAGTAAGAAATGGTGGACTTTGAAAATGACTTTAGGTTTTCTCACTGCACAGAATATAGTCAAACACTGCTGCAGTTAATTATTTTCCCTTTGTTCTAACTGCATTATCTACAATAATAATCTGCTTCATGTTGATATTTACCGCTGTGTTGTTGACAATTACCTAAAAGAGAAGTTAGGGTGCTTCATTGGGCTTGAAAAAGTTTAGTTACATCAGAAAGCAGGTCTAATGAAGCAAGTTTATTCTATATCTATAAAAGGCTAAGTTGACATGTGTGATACATATAAAGTTCTTGCTGGCACCAATTGCACACACGTTTTGATCTGTCATTGTCGATCCAGAATTTGGTTGACACTTCTATTATAGAGAAAGAACAAATAGTGATATTAAAATATTTCATCTGATTAATTTGCTTTCAACATGCACAAATCAGTGCACTGGGCCACTAGTAAAAATATATCAGACTGGTTTAAGACAGACAAATTTGAATTATTTCTCACTTTAAAATGCTGTTCCATTAGGCATATTAGAATGAAGTGTTGTGCTTAGATTGGCAGCTTTCTAAACATAAGTAAGGGCAGCTATTGAGGTAATAGGGAGGATTATTGTTTGGGTCAATGTGATATAAAAAATGAGTTCCTGATATGTTTAATGGTAGAGAGCAGGGGCTAATAGCAGTTTGCTTGTGGGAAGTGAGATGCATATAAAGCACATAACACCTGGCAAAGAGGGATATTTCATTCTTATTAGCTATTATTTTTATATTAATTTTATATACTTATATTTATGTTTATTATCTCATATGATATTGTAAAGATAATAGTAGTAAGATCTCTTCAGTCTTTTAAAATATTTTATTTTATTGTTGATAATATTACAGATGTTCTCTAGTTTCTGCCCCTCTTTACCTCCCTCTTCCCAATCCCTACTCTACCCCAAGCCTTGTTGTGCTCTCTGCATTATTAGAATCCATGGAAAATGTTTCTTTGTATTTCTTTCTCCCTTCCAATTATATTTACCATAACATGCACTGAGTAATTGCATTGATCAACTTAGAAATCCTTCAATTACTCCCAATTTGCTAGGGGCAAATGATGAGGATATTTGCCCATGCAATGGTCATCACATACTTTTATTATCACAAGCACTTACCATACTGTATTGCAGATGTCTGTATAATTACATCTCCAAATGTACTACACACTCCATATCTCTAGCATATACCATAATGCTTGATACATGGTAGGTGCTCAAAAATATTTGCTTAATAGATGATACATAAATAATTAGAGAGACTGTGGAAGCTAGAACCAGAAAAGCATTTTTGGATTCATCTTTGGGAAAGCAAAACCACAAAGAGCTTGGAAAAATACAAAGCTACCCTGAAAGGTGCCTATAGATTCCTAAAGGTCCAATCAATCAGTGTTCTCATCTATTTCTAGCTATGAGAAATGTCTCTCATGCCCCAGTGTTTTGCACCTTGCTTGAAATTTGTTCACTTAAACTGCTTGAAATTTTATATTCAGCTTTTAAATTTTATATACTGCCTAACTTTAGAAAATTATTATGATTACTGTTATCATTTTTAAAATCATAGTATTTTGATATAGGGGTCTGAGGAAGGTACACTTTTACTTTTAGAATGAAGTGTTGTGCTTAGATTGGCAGCTTTCTAAACATAAGTAAGGGCAGCTATTGAAGTAATAGGGAGGATTATTGTTTGGGTCAATGTGATATAAAAAATACAAAAGAATGGAAAAACTTAGGAAACAAATATTGAACATGTGGTATATGCCAAGTACCATATTAGATACTTTCATACATTTTACATTATTTAATACCTTAGAGCTGTTGAGAATTTAGGTTATTTGTCCAATGTGAGACAGCTATTTATTTATGTTTAAGACATTTGTAGTCACACATAAAGAGATGAAACTGTGTATGTTAAAAATGCAAATGTCAGGTTTGCCACATCCAAAATTGTATTCTCTCTTTTCCACAGCCCTGGAATCAGTTATTTTACAAAGAACCCTATGCTGTATACTAGGGAATGGTATTTGGAAACCAAAATCGTGGAACTAGATGTGTTCCTTGCTTATGGGGTGTCATGGTTCATAGGTCATTTCACTAGACTGAATAGAAAATGGATTATTATTTTCTTCCTTGTGAATTCATACTGATACCTCCAATGCTAATCCAACACCAAGGGTTCCTCACTGTTTACCCTTATTTCCATGTTATATTTCCCTTTTTCTATCATGTAAATTCTGATTGCCAACATTGCAAATAATTTAATTATTATCTTAACAAGTTAAGCGTCAAGTCTGTTTTGTCTTCCTTTCCAGAAAGTATAGTGTCAGTCACTGGTGATTGACATGGTAATTAATATGTTAATCCTAATGATTAAAGTAGTTTTACAATCATTATACATACACTACTATCAACCAGAAACACCCTAGTGGAATTATTATTTTCTATATATAATAGTATCTTATATAATAAAAGCCCAGTGACCATAATGGTATAACGACCAGAACAACCACTCGACCAATTACTGTGAGGTGCATTGACCACCTCTCAGTCCCTCCCTCTGGCCTGCAGGCTCTCACTGCTGGATAGTGAATAGGGAACCCGGGTGGGTGACAGTGGGGCAGAACTGGGGCCTGGCAAGCAGGCAGAATGGTCTCTTGCCCCCGTCCCAGCCCACAGGCCCCAATCACTGCTGGATGGTGAACAGGGAACCACAGGGAACCAATATGGGTAGTGGCGGGGCAGGACTGAGGACTGGCAAGTAGGCAGAAGGCAGACTCTTGGTCCCTCCCCCCAGCCCATGGGCTCCAATCAATCACCACATGGCGAACAGGGTGGGTTGCGGGTGTTGGGCAGTACTGGGGACTGGCAAGAGGGTGGAAGATGGCCCAGTCACAGGCTAGGCCTAGGGACCCTACCAGCATGTGATTTTGTGTGCGCTGGGCCTCTAGTGTAATATAACATTTTATATAATGGTACAGTAGCTTTGTATATTACTTTACAAAAATAA